CCCGTGAACGAATGTGTTTCCTTTCACCTGGGTCTGAAGATTCACACTTGTCGACCCGGAATATACTGCGTGCATTAGACGATGCAAGGACAATCAACTTAAATATAACTGTTACCTCCTGACAATTATTACAGTTCTCTTAGTTGTCTGATGTAGAAAGTAATCTTAAATAAAACCATGGAAAACAACCGATCGTTCAGAGATCAGAGATTTTCTCTACGTAATTTATGTCTGTGAATATATTTATTGAACAGTTCAGCAATGACCACGTCACTTTAGAATGAACATTGCAAACTAGTACACCAGGCTTGAATTCAGATTCCAATAAACTTCGTCACCAGAATTGACAGCTGCTGTTATTGAATAATCAGTCAAATCAGAATACTAAGCTCCGCCCATCCCATGTGACGTAAATGTTGGTCTTTAAAATAGACTAGCTATTTAGTCTCCCACATGCAATTATATATTCATGAACCCAGTTGGAGTCGTATGTGAAAGGTTGTGTTGAAGCAAAGAGCTGCACATATTGGGTTACACTATTCGGGAGACAAATCATTCCAGATAATCGGAAACGACCAAATATTTAAAACAAAGGTGTATGTGACTGTCAGATCCTAGAGCACTCAGGTTTGTTCTATCATGATTATGTCAATTGTTTTAATATGGTACACATACCAGATCTGAAAGGTCTATCATTTAAATGTGTATGGCTTGACCATTAACAACATCAAAGATACATTTTGAAAATAAATGTCCAGATAATCGGAAACGACCAAATATTTAAAACAAAGGTGTATGCGAGTGTTAGATCCTAGATCACACAGGTTTGTTCTACAAATAATAACGATTATGTTTATTGTTTTAATATGGCCCACACACCAGATCTGAAACCTTTTTCATTTAAATGTGAATGGCTTGACCAGAGATACAGTTTGAAAATAAATGTCCTGCTGCAAAAATCATATCATATCAAAAACAATGAGAACTGTTTTTAGCATCCTAATGCTTAAAATAGAACATTTGCTCAGGCGTTTGTTACTGGTATGTGATGGCATAAATATTAATGTTGATGTTTTTAAAACTGCTTGTGTCGAATTTAGATACATCTACAAGTGTTAGTAATATTACATAAAAAATCAGGTGAATGCTAACATTATTTTGAACAAATGTTGCCCCCATATTTTATTAGAACAACGTTGGAGAATCAACGAAAACAAACCAACCAAAGTGAAAACATTAACAACGTGATATACAAATTGTTACTCTATGGGACAATACGTGACGACCATAGTGGTTAGATAAAATCAACCAGACTATTCAAGTAAATACAGAATATTGTTTCGTACATTTACAGCAATATATCACCTATCTGGTATACATTATACGGTTTTTCTAAGCCCTGGCTTACAATACACAAGCATCAAAACAAATTTAACAAAACATCGATATGTTTACGAGCAGTTATTCTTGCATCACTGCAATAGTATCATCCTCTTTGTAAATTTCGAATAATGATGATGATGTAAATATTATTTAGTGTACCTGGTCAGATATTGATATAAAGCATAGTAATCATGTGATAAATAACGGTATGTGTGTTTCGTCTTGCTAAAATTGTGATTTGTTTCTCAATACGTTTTCGTTTGTATTATACTTTTTAGGTTATTAATCATGGATTACATACTTCCAATAACATCGCTTCTGATGATATTTCTTCTATCAGCTTATAAATGGGTAAGAAGAATGAGAAAACGAACAGAAGGCCGTGTTCCCATTGTGAGTGGTGGTAGAAAATTGAGTGACAACGAAATGTTGTATTCTGACCTCCATGATCTAGGTATATGTATTGTATCGAATGCTATTTTCATAGAGTCAAATATTCAGCTTACTGAAGATATGTTAAGAAAGGCAGCAATTATGATAAGAAAAAGACATCCACTCTTACGTATGCGAATAGTTGATGTTATTGACTCCAACGGTTTTGTGCAAAAATTCTTTCAACCAGTTGAAAAAGAGATTATTGATGTAAAGACTATAACTGCAGATGATTGGATTGAAGTCCATTCTGACGAGATGAGCATGCCATTTAATGCTCAGAAAGGCCCACTCTGGCGAATGCGACTCCTGAATAATCACGTAAGTGCAACTACGACAGATGGTGTACATACAAGTATTTTGATCCTGACATTTCATCATTCAATTATAGATGGAAATACTGCAATGCGATTTGTGGATGAACTTCTTGACGGACTTAATTCCGTAGTTGATGGCAAATATTACATTCCTGAAAGCCTTCCATTGTATCCATCCATGGAAGATACCATTGAGATTCCTGATATGCGATGGTGGCATATATTATGTCACTTAATTGATATGGGAAAAAAGAGTGTTTTCAAATCCTCCAATCCTTATATAGATCGATTTGGTTTGGAGATAATAAGAAATCCTGATGTTCATCCAGCAACGAAAATAATTCCAATTGAGTTTTCCAAACTGGAGACAACACTTATAAAAACATATTCAACAACACATGGCGCTACCGTCAATGGTGTTCTTCTAGCTGCTGCCCTAATTGCGATGGCTCGAATAATTAATGGTGGGAAATCAGGAAAAGATATGAACTTGAAAATTGGATTCCCTTCTAATGTGCGAAACATGTGCATGCCTCATGTTGACGCTAAAGATATGTTGGGCATATACACATTCATGGATTTTATGAACACAGATGTATCATGTTCGATTGATGATTCTAGTTCGTTTGGTAGTTTTGCATCAAGTCTTACCAAAACAACTCATGCAATGATAAGAAGAAAAGATGGACAACGTATTTTACAGTTTGCCAGCATGATATATGATCTGGGTATCAGTGTTAAGCAGTTGCCTGCAGATAGTTTTGATGCTGCAACTGTTCTCTCAAATTTAGGAAACCTCCAGTACTTGACAAAGGAAAAACCACGTGCATTTGAGATAACTCATAGTTATAGAGCTACATCCTCTGATAAAGGAAACGTGTTTTCCAATTATGTTGCAACAATTCATGGTCGACTATGTTGGACAGTTGCATATGAAACAGATGTAGTATCGGAAGAACAAGCCAAGACATTTGGTGATATGGTTGTTGAAATACTAACAAATATGTGTATTAATAATCAACATTGATGTGTATGTAGACTAGTGTTAAACTGTTACCTACAGTGGTACACGGAATATGCGTGTCAATCTATTTTGGTCTATAAATGTGTGCCAATGTTAAGGAAATAACACTCAAAGCAAAGCTTTCTGTGAATGGCAAGTCAAGGAAACCAAACCAAAAACCATGAATGACTACAATATAGGATGGCAAGAAATTAGTGGGATAATTTAAATCTGTCTTCAAACATAAACAAAATAAAATAGTGGAGCATGAACATGCTTTACTTTCTGATTTGTTCCTTATTTAAAAATTAAATGTTCACACTGAAAAAATATAAATACACTGATTTATGCACAGTGACATTGATAATCGTATGCATGTGCTGTGTGATAAAACAACGCATATATTTAATTATTTATTATTCATATTACAGGGTTCATCAGGAAATCAACCACATTATATATATAATATGTAGTTTCCAGATTGTGTAAATTATAGAGTCACGTAGATCTAATTGTTCATATTTGAATGAATTTTGAATTCCATTTGGGCATGTTATTGGTGGATTATAGTAAATAAATTAAATATCGCTGTGTTGGTTCGTGGGATAAAATGCATTCAAGGCAATACAACAGCAACCATATTTTATATGTTCTATGTTTATGTTCTAAACGCTTTTTCTGTGTTTTTTTAATTGCACACAAGTTATTTAAGAATTTGTAGTGGATATACATAAATGCTGGATTAGATTGCAGCTGAATTCAATGCACAGTCAGAGTTTGACTGATTTGTTGATGTGATTGGTATATTATTTGAATACTAGAACAACAGTTTGTAATAAATTGCTCTAAACTTAGTAGTGTAAAGATGATTTTGAAAATTAGTAAATATTCCTGTATTATATCTCATATTAATCAACAGAAACTCAATTCTAATTAGTTTCAACAATCGTTGTTCAAATACTATGGCATTTATAAATACCCATCACTTCACGATTCGCATTAGAATGGAATCTTCAATTATTGATACCATAAACATGCATACACGTGTAATTTTTGTGAGACATCATTTAAAGCACAAGTTCATCTCTACCCAATTGTTATCTTAGTGAAAATCTGTATTAGTCGGTATCAAATCGAATAAGGAATGTTATCACAGTGCAATTGTTAAAGTGCTTTTTTAGCATGATGTGTTTTTTCAATGTCATTTTTATCATTTGTTATCTTCTTAAAATCGCTTTATTTTTTCAAAATGGAATTATTTTGTCCATGTTTAATTTTATTTATGCACGAAATGTGTGATAATGTAGTATTGCGATGATAATATAGCAGGAAAACCTATTATCGTGGGATATGCATAACAAAATACCAAACATATAAATAATTTAAGGCAAACATCATGAAAATCAGTGGCAGCTGCACACGGGGTTTTACTTGCGAAATCAGCCAATTTGTTGACTTATAACTAATATTATTAATTAGGTGTTGAATGAAACATAAAGCTTACTTTGCGGCACATAGTGAATCCTCATCTGATTTTATTGATGATATGAGCTTTAGCATACTAGTATGCGTCAACTCAAGACAATCATCTCGAATCAAACAGACCTAATCACGTTCCTGTGTTTATTATTTCTAACATCGAAACTATGCATATAACATTTTTATATGAGATTCACTTGATTACCTGAAACTAGTAATACACTGATCATTATGTAATTATTTTAAATTCATGTACATTATTATTGTGATGTTGGGCTGACTCGATATACAAAGTAGAAACTATGCATTTATAATGGTAGTTTTCAAAGTGGCAACCTGAATAATATTAATAAATTAATTTAAATTAATATTTATTGTATTTTAATGATTGTAGCGTACTAAGGTTGTTATGATATTCTATTTTTGCTGTAAAACAAATGTATTTTGATAATGCCCAGTTAGCTAGTGAGGCTTGCCCAGCTGCGGAATTAGAATAGACAGCATGTATTGTCATTGCTAATTAATATTCTTTTGTTCATGCTTGTGCAAGACGAACGTGAACACGAGTTCAGTCAGTTGTCACCCAGCTCCCGACCAGTGCAGTGCAGTGCAGTGCAGTTCAGCTCAGCTCAGCTCCGGTGCAGTGCCAACGTATGTCTCAAGATAATGCCTGACCAATTCGGCATATGGGACTGATAGATGCAAAACAGCCTGCTGTGGTTCTGCGCTGTAAAACCAACTTTATCCAAAGACCTGTGTTGCGCCAGAAAGCGTGGTTTGCTGAGCTTGGTCTTTTCTCTGCACAGACGGTATGGAATTCGTGTAACATTACGGTCAGTGTCGTGTAATTTGCATTCCCCGAGACCTCGTAGTTTGGAGCTGTAGAACTGATATCGCCGTCGACGTTGCTGTGATTAACTGTACTATCGCTGAAGCTGCGCAGTACGAGTTCTGCACTTAGGTAGGGTAGGCAATTCTGAGCTGGGCTATTATCATTAATGTTATATTTATTGTGATGTATATTGTTGACCGGTTGTGATTTATATCACTCCTGTTACTGGTTTATGCTTATTGTATTATTAAATTAGTATTATTGGACATATCCTGACTGTGTGCCTTTGTTTGACCTTTAGTGTTGCGTTCTGGAGTGCGAGATATTGGCGGCCAGGTTCGCGGGAGACTATCTCGTATTTCCGTTCGTAACAAGGTAAACGTCAGATTACAGTGGCAACACGCTTTGCGTGCATGTGAGTTCGAATCATGCGTGCACAATTACATGTTGGTGTGTATTTATGTTCGTAATTACCCTATACTTATATTTCACAATAAGTCTATATAGTTTTGTGATTCTGAATTCAACATTACAATTGATATAGACAGATACCCCGGAAACGACAAGACATATTCAAAATAAAAGTGTATGTGGCTGCGAGATTCTAGAGTACAGAGTTTTGATATATAACGACCAGGTAAATGTTTAGTATATTCCAACATATCTGATTCAAATCCTCTTTAATTTCAATTGTGTGCGACAAAGTGGCTGGCCATTAAAAACTCATTCACATTTTGAAAATAAATATCCTACAGCAAAAAAAAGCTGAATTGAAAACATAAAACGTTTATCAGAAATTTGTAGAACAGTTATAAATATCCTAATGTTTAAAATAGAAAATCTGCTTCGTCGTTTTTTACTGGTATGTAATGATGCAAATATAACTGTTTCATGTTTTTTTTTTAAAAAAATAGTGAACTAATTGTGTTAATTGATATATCTGCTGTTATTGATAATTAGGAAATAAAGTAATACAAAAACGTTTACATTTAAATAATTTTGACCATATGTTGGACCATCGTTACAGAACTAATTAAAAAGGTAGAACAAACGCATTGTTATTGCCTATACTACAACATTTGAAAAATACAATAAAACCAGTCGATACAATGATAATCCAACTATTATAGGAGCATGACTTCTAAGTACGTCGGTGGGCGTGTATTTATAAGGTTATGGGTGTATAAAACGCAGGTCACGTTTGTTAGTTTGTTTAATTTTTCTTTCACAAAATATTTCCAGGGATGATCTGTCTCCTTGCTTATTGTATGTTTTAACCAAATTATTCTTTGTATTTTCTTTGTTACATACAAGTCTACCATTCCTATACCCCCTTTGCCCACCCAGCCTATCATGGCTTTCCTTGCAATACGATCAACTCCTTATAAAATTATATACTATTTTGTGCACCTATTTTAAGACACTATTTGCCAGTATATAAGTAAAATAGTATAATCCAAACGTTTTGAGTTTTTTCAAATAGTTTTCTGCCTTTCCACTGATTTGAAACTTCCCTCAAATCATTTAATGTTTTTTCAATGTTTATCTTTTGCATTTCTTCTTTGTCATACGAAAAATGTACTCCCACAATTTTGATAGGCGAGATGGGCCATTTGACCCCAAACTTTTCCTAATTTTTTTTCCATTTTCCCAACCAGACTGCCTCAGTTTTATACCTGTTAATTTTTAACCCACTACATTCATGGAACTTTTTCAACACCTTCATTAAATTGTCAACTGATTCACTATTGGATAGAAAACGCGTCATGTCATCCGCGAACGCAGATTCTTTGACCTCCTTTCCTGCTATGGTGATGCCAGCAATATTTCTGTTACCCCGTATACTGATGAGCAGGGTTTCCAGTACCAAAAGAGGGCTTGTGACAGTGAGTCCCCCCCCCCTGCTGTGCATATCTTTAGACTGTGAAGTAATCTGTGCCGTACCCAATATTTATTATGCTACTTTCAAATATAGTGTACACTGTTTTTATCCATTTTATATAACTTTCTCTAAAGCCAAAATTGTGCAAGACTTTAAGTAAAAAACTCCAGTTAACCATGTCAAAGGTTTTTTTTCGAAGTCCACTGCCATTAATATGGCTGGCAAATTCTGCCCCTGTGTATAATCATAAGTTTCGTCAATTAGCCGGATGTAATCACCTAGTTTGCTGTGTTTTTTTTACAAACGCAACTTGTGTTGGGCCTATTATTTCCGGTAATATTTTTTTCAATTCGCTTAGCTAAACACTTAGAAGCTAATTTCATGTCTACATTTAATAAAGTTATTGGGCTCCAATTTTTAAGGAGCAGATGGTCCCTTCCTGGTTATTTTTCCCTGTCGTTGCGAAAGTGAGAATTGTCTTTTTTCAAACGCAAAATTGAGTGAATCAACCACCAATTGTCCCACAGAAGACCAGCAGGTTTTATAGAAATGTCAGACCATCGTTACCCGGACTTTTCTTTTTTGGCAGTGTATTTAAGATTGTGTGGATTTCCCCTCTAGAGAACAAACCCTCGCAATGTGCTTTCGACTTTTCATTCAGCTTAGGTACCTTTCATTTAGGAAATCATTTAACATTTGGTTTAACTTTTCACAGTGGATATCCTTTTGATTTTCTATAATTTTATCATTTTTCTTTATGCATGCTCAGAATAAATAATTAGCTCAGATTGTAATGCTATTGTTTTCAGTGATATCATGACCTGGTCATGA